GGCGGAGCGGTGCAGGCCAGCCAAGCCAGCGAGTGAAGCGCGCTTTCTTGCGGGTCCTGTACGCGGTTTAAAACAAGAACTGTCCCTGGGGCTCAGGGTAGCAGTGCAGGAAGTTAAGCAGGCGTACAGTATCTTTGACTTTCTAAAACTCGGCGAGATTAGTTGATAGAAACTCTACTGTAGATGTTGGCGCACTGACTTGCCAAGATAGTGCAAATGTAAGGCACCGCTCTGGCTGTCATCACTCGCACCTAAAGCAGAGTAGGAAGGAACGCAGCTCGTAGTAGCCAAACACACTTCCATAAAGAGAGACACTGCTATTAGTTTGAGAATTTCTGGTAAAAGCTATTAAAAGCCGAGGACTGATTTAGCAATACACTGAAACTTCCAGATGTCCTCTGAAAATAATGAGGTCACACTGGCAGCTCCATTGCTATTGCCTCACAGTATTGCCTATTTTGCTGCCTTTGCCAGAAACTTGGGAGGTAGTTTGCACATTGTTGCTCAACCTTCCTCAAACAAATAGTAACACTCTGTCTGCCAAAATAAAATCTCATACATAGAAAGCAACTGCTTCTGGGGAATATGGGTTGAAAGGCAAGCCAAACACATTTGGATAAACGTTCAGGTATATTTAAGTTCCTCAAAAGTATACGATTACTTAGAACTATTTGGAAAAAATCCAGAACCAAAAAGTCCAGTTTCCCCCCTTTTCTTTCTTTTAAAATATGACCAAGAAAAATTGAGTTTAAGATTGCACGCATTAGCTAAGATTTCTGATGTGTATCACTGAATATTTAATTTGTATGTTCTGTTACCCATATTCCAAAGCAATGTTCAAATAGTAGCGGTTACTATTTTATTTGTGTGTGTGGAGGGGGGGGGGGGAGAGAGAGAGAGAGAGAGAGAGATTAAAAAGTAGATATCGCAAAGGTTTAGAACTTTTTCAGAGCAAGAAATCAATCGTAATTGATATGATTTCTGGGTTATTCTCCACCCTCATTCACCCACAACAGTATCATCTGGATGAATGCTTGCATGGACTGGAATCTGAGAACTGAATTAAATTCCTCATTCCAAGAGCATTCAAAAGTACAAGAGGAAAGAGATTTAACTGAAAGTCAAAATGCTTTAGGTATTTTTGGCACGTGACTTTTTTTTTTTTTAAACCTTGCATGATACATATTTTCAGACTTATGCTAGGATCTGCACCGTGGCATAAAGAGCCTTGCTGTCAGGTGCAGATGAGGCTTGTGTGGTTTATAGTTCTGAACCTAGACTTAAACCATGACATCTCCATAAACAGACTGCTATCAGTCTAAGAAGCTGTAAAACAGGTAAGTAAATAAAAGCTGAGGAAAGATTCTCCCTGTGAGAACAAAACTCCTCCTGTTTGTTTTAAACCTGTCTCATGTTACCTTTATTTATCTTAGCTGTATGTCTTGCAAGACTAACTTCAGGCAACTGCAGACAAGGATGAAACAAGCAAGTTGTAAACATCCCTTCTGTGCCATTCATCTTTTTATCGACCTTTCTCCACTGAGAGACGTTCTTTTTTCCATTTCTTTTACATCACTTTATCTTCCTTGCTGACCTCTGAAGCTTTCCCAGTTCTACTATATTGAAAAATGGAGATGCCAAAACTGCACACCGTAGTCAAAATCCTATTTGCCTGCTTCCTAGATGAAGTAATGGAAGAGTTGCCGGTTAGAGGGGATAGTGTTTTGTTTTAAATCAGGGTGTTCCAATAGCAGCATTGGCTAGAATTATTGTAATGTAACAGTAACTCAAAATCTCCTACCACTCCAGAATGCAGCTGTAGTCATCCAGAATGCATCCTTCAGTTTTGAAGAGTTCATTCACGGACAATGAAAGTTTTAGATTTGTTGAGTGCTGGTCTTCTGCCTTGGTCATCCAGGTGTCATTTTTAGTTTAATCACAGAGAATATACTGGAATAAAGCAGCTTATTATTTGTTCCTGCCAGAAAGAACATACTATGTATGCACACTTTACAGGACAGGACATAGTTATGGTTACCTGTATTTGGTCTTCTCAAGTTACACAAAATAGCTCCAATACATTAACAAAAAAGTCTATTTACTTAAAAGCTAGATCTCCAATGCAAAGCTATATATAACTCATAGAAGGCACAGTAAATGTCACTAACACATTTCTAAGTCAAAGTAGCAGATTAGCTGCTAAAAGACACAAAAGGGACTGAAAAAGGTCTTGGATCAACCTTAAAAGTCTTGGCATTGATGTGTATCTGCAGAACCACCACCTATGTCATACACATTCCACATTGCTAGCTTACTTGGATGAGTAACTGAGCTCTCGCTACGATACTTTTGCAACATAAACCAAAAGAGAGGTCCATTCAGGATCTTTCTTCTGTTGACACGAACTTATCAGTCAAAAGTGCAAGAAACTCTGTAGTGAAAGGAGATAAAATTTTCCCTGGAAAACTTTATTCTTAAATTCCCATCTCCTGTGCTATGAAGGATGGAGATTGTATTCCAGTCAAATCTTAATAATATTACTAATACTCTGGACCTTCCAGTTGCCAATACATACACACATCTCTTCCAGGGATTATTTCACTTCTAATGGCTTCAGAGGCTTTAATATATGGGGGGAAAAATCCTTTAAATAGTTTACATTTTCTTATCTTTAATTTAATAAATAACCTTTTTTCCCTCCCATCCATTCTAAATTCTCTCTCATTTCCCTCATCCCTCCATGTTTTTTAAGAAGAGCAGGAACATTTTATGAGATGCTATTTATTCCAACAAACTGTTTTGCATGTGTGGGTTGGGACCACCCATATCAGTTGCTTTTAGAGATTATTGATAAGGTACTGATTTGGTATGCATTAGTTCTGGCATTTCAACAAACAGCAATATCTTATTATAAATTAGAATAAATAATTCTTTGCATAAACTCTTCCCAAGTGCAGAAAGCTCTAAAAAAAAAAAAAGAATCTATTCAGCCAAATGGTGCCTGAGCCTTCCCTCCCATCCTGTAAGAAAGAAATGGGTCTTATGGTGCATGACCTCTTCTAATCTGCTTTGAAGTTACTTCAGATTAATGCCTTTACAGAACAGTGGACCTCTCCAAGAGAGGCAGGAGCTGTCTTCTCTGATCAATACAACCTCATACTGTTGCTTGCAGGATTATACCTAATCCAAATGCATTCTCACAGGCAAAACATTAGAAGAGTTAATCTAGGCATTACATCATCTTCATAAAATCAAGAGGCAACTTCCCCGCAAAAAATTATCTTTATTTGAAAAGAAACTGAAACCAGACAACAGAAAGCAACAAAGTTACATACAGTGCTCGACAAGATCTACCATATACATTTTCCAAGAACGCTTGAATCAGATTCTGATATATGTTCTTCTAAAAGGTAAAATATCACATAATTATTAACAAAAAAATGTCAACAATCTTAATCAGCTTATATTTTGCACTGTTTGGATGGCAGTAGATTGGTAACTTGCCTTTTTCAACTCATCTTTAACACTGAAAGGAGAACGTGGACAAAAAAATTCCAAGTCAGAAGGCCCTAAAGAACACAGTGTCTGCTCTAAGGGCCACATACAAAAGCTTGGAGGAGAGACTGTCTTAAGTAAAAATCCCTCAACAACTCCATATTCTTTCACAGCTCAGAAAAAACTATGAAGAAAGGCCAAAAAAAAAAAAATTAAAAGCTTGCCCTCCTTAAGTTATATGGAAGTTCAGATTTAGACCATCCTTTAGGAGATGAGTGTCTAGGAATAGACACAACATCTCTCGTGACTCCAATCCCAAACTGTCTCCAATACAGCAATTCCTGAATTACAGTGCACAAACCTCCGAGTAAAAAGGTGGCGTTGGATCAAAACTTATTTTGAGACAGTTTGTTTGAACACGAAAAGGAAAATTAATCATTTATGGCAAACAACACAAAAATAGGTATTCCCTATGATGTTCAGATAAGCCGTTTCTGAACCGGGAAACTAAGGGCGACATTGAATACTTTAAGCTATAGGCAGCACCTCTAAGGGGCTGAACACCATTCAGAATTAATTACCTCGAAACTGATGACACACAAGACTAGGGCACTAAAGGGACCCTTTATTTTCATATAAAGCATAAGCCAACAAGAAATCAGAGGAGTTCCATACAAAGAAGTGAATGTGCATAACTCAAGATGTAGTGTAGGATAGTTATATTGCCTCAAGAGTTCTGCTAAGTACACTTAATTTTCCAATTTTAAGGAAGAGTCTATTCTAATATAGAAAGCTTCAGACAAAAGTTAGTAATTGCAGAATAACTTTAAAATACATCCAGTTCTACATCCTCCTGCATATATCTAATCACATCCAATAGATAAAAAAATTACATGTTTTGTAAACCA